GCAAGCTGCTCTCTTTGAGCGCCTTTTGGTCGCGCTCCAGTGCGCTCGCAGTTCTCCACCACCCTTCTCCATCCATCTCTGACCTCTCCCACCCCCAGCCCTCCTCCTCCTCGCATCCAGTCCTCCTAAACCCCAGTCCTCACAATCCCCCCCACACTCCTGAGAGCACTCCTCGAGGCAGCCCCGCTCAATAAGAGCAGAGGAACACGCGCATGCGGCGGCGCGCGAGGCACTGGTAGCAAAACTCTGTCTGTACGGTATCCTCTTCTTCGTCGTCGTCGTTGTCGCCGCCGCAGACGTCGTCTCGTCGCCGTCGTCGTCGTCGTCGTCGCCGCCGCCGCCGTCGTCGTTGCAGTCGCGGTCGCAATCGCCGTCGCCGTCGCCGTCGCCGTGGCCGTCGTCGTTGCCGTCGCCGTCGTCGTAGTGGTCGTCGTCGCCGTCGTCGTCGTCGTCGTCGTCGTCGTCGTCGTGGTCGTCGTCGGCCGTCGTCGTCGTCGTCAGGGGGCCCCTTCAGAGGACTAAGATGGCGCAAAGACGGCATCAAGAGGGCCCCAAGAAGGTTACAAGAAGGACAGATTTTTATTTGCTTGTACTTCCTTGAGGCCATCGTCTGCCAAAGCCCCTGAAGCCCCAAGACGCGAAGGAGGACGAGGATGGGGAGGCGGAGGAGGGGGAGGAGAAGGGGGAGGGTGTGATCGCCGAGCGATGCACCTGATGTTCGACGCTTCGCGCATTCCCTTGAGCCCCTCCTCAAACGATGCCCAACGCAGCAATGAAATGATGGGGATAGGAACGAGAAGGAAGGAGGCAGGGGACGAGGACGACGACGACAACGACGACGCCACTGCCCGTCTGTCCCCATTTTGTGCCGAGCGTGGCCCGCCGCTGCTCTGCCAATCATGCCCTCGCCCAGGCGCTCGCGCTCACCTCCTGGCGACATGGCCATGCCCAAGGCGCGGCCGCCGTTCAAGAAGCCCCGGCTCCAGATCCGGGCGACGCCCAAGCAGCGGCCGTCGTCCAAGATGCTGCCGCCCGAGCTCTGGCTCCAGTTTCAGCAGACGCCCGAGCTCCAGGGACCCGCGCCTGTGACGCCCCCCAGGCGTTCGCGTCGGGAGGACGGCGCGTGGCGGCGTCGCCGCATCGGCGGGCCGAAGCAGCCAGCATGTCCGCCGCCTACGCACCTCCTCAAGTCCCCCACGGAGGCGAAGTGCGACGGCGACGTCAGTGGCCAGGCGTCGGCATCGGCGGCGCGGACGGCGAGGCGCTCGGCAGTGCCAGTGCGCTTGTGGCACGGCGGGGCGGCGCAGTGGCAGTGCGCCTGTGGCGCCGACGGCGTCGTCAGGCGGGCGTTGCACGAGATCATCATGACCAGCGGGGGGCTCGAGGCAAATTACACCGACGGCCCAATATACTGCTTCGAGTGCTGGCACCTGCTCCAGGAGGCCAGGCCCGACGTGGAGGGCATCATCATCGGCCCGCCCGATGCAAAGGTCCCAGAGGCCGACGTCGTCGAGGACCCGGAAGACGGCCATCAGCTCGTCAAAGAGGAGGCCGACGAAGAGGTCTCAGAGGACGACATCGTGAGAGATGAGGACCCACAGGACGACCATCAGCTCGTCAAAGAGGAGGCCGAGGAAGAGGAGTACGCGATGGAGGCGGATGCCGCGGCGTGGGAGCTCATGAAGGACGACATCGTGAAAGATGAGGACCCACAGGACGACCATCAGCTCGTCAAAGAGGAGGCCGAGGAAGAGGAGCACGAGAAGTACGCGATGGAGGCGGATGCCGCGGCGTGGGAGCTCATGAAGGACGACATCGTGAAAGATGAGGACCCACAGGACGACCATCAGCTCGTCGCCGAGGAAGAGGAGTACGCGATGGAGGCGGATGCCGCGGCGTGGGAGCTCGACAGCGCGGAGTCGGAGAACCCGCAGGAGGGGCCTCAGGAGGAGCCGCTTGCGGGCAATCCGCACTGCAAGCAGCGTAGGGGGTGCATCGGATGCGCATCCTCACCAATGGTGAGGCACGTCTTCAAGTGGGGCGGGTGGCACTGGATCCCAGGCGACGTCTACTGCACCCCGTGCTGGCAGTCCTTCTGCAGGGATCATCGGTTCAGTCGCCTCATGATGGCGGTGCCCTGGACACCCCCGGTCGGGGCCCTCAGACCGATTGATTGCGAGATGGCCCAGGGTTTGTGCGGTGTGAGGCTTGTACACAGTTGAGAGTTGAAGCATTGCTGTAGGCTTTCGGCGGGGACGCTGACGCAACTGAGCTCCTCCGGCCCCGCCGGAAGAAGGTCCAACCGAGCCCTCGCCTCCTGGCCCTCGCCCTTCTGCTCAACCTCCTGCTCACCCTCCCCTTCTCCTCGCCCTCCCCTTCTCGTCGCCCTCGCCCTCCTGCTCACTCGCCCTCCTTCTCACCCTCTCCTCCTCCTGCTGCTCCCCCTCCTCCTCCCCCTCCTCCTCCTCCTCCTTCTTCTCCTCCTCCTCCTCCTCCTCTG